CCGCGGCCCGGTCACTGCGCCCGAGAGGCCGGCCGGCCGACAGCGAGCGCCGGGCGCGGCGGCAGCGCCACTGTGACGAGCGACAGGTTCTTGAGTTTTGTCTACTTTTTAATAAAACTACTTTCCAGAAGTTTTCGCCTTAAAATAGCGAAAGCCACGTCCAAGATGGCCCCCCAGCCGTCAACCAGCGCTCAGTTTCTTTGCAGCCCCTTTCACGACAGACCGGGACCCGTTTACGTCCACGCCCCAGGCGAAAACCCCGAGCTGCAACGCGCGTGCGCTCTCCGGTGGTGGGCTCAGTCTGGGTTTTGGAGGGCCGCGCATGCGCAATTGTGCGCGCTGGTCTCCTTTCCTGGTTGTGGCCCTTCCTTGCGGGGGCGTTGGGGTTAGCTCTTCCGGCGTAGGCCGGCATACTCACGAAGTTTTCGGGGCATGGGTTTCAACACAGCGTTGCAAAAGTGGCTTTTCCACACCCGAAATGCAGTTACACCAAAATCCGTCATCTAGGGCCGTGAAGCCCAGGGCTGCATCTCAACAATACCTTGCCGCGCTGGGTCTCCAAATCTCTCCCAAGGCCTGCCGCCCAGCAAGGCCTCGATACATTTTGTTTTACCCTAACATGTGCTGTCTGGAAGGGATAAGTGGGTACGTTTATGCTCTAGACATGGTAACAGGAAACACTGGGGAGCTGGTGCTTGTACAAGTGCTGCAGTTTGGGACTCACTGTTCCAGTGGATCAAATGGAGCCAGTAGTTCCACTTCGGGATACCTATCTGGGTTATTGAGAAGATTGAGTGAGAAAACGGGTGCGAAAGTGCATTGTAGACTTACTTGATAAAGCACCTGGCAGATGCAAATGGTATTATTAGACTGTGTAATGTGGTGGTTGAGGGCAAAGTGTTGGAATTAGACAGATCTGGGATTTGGATCCTAGCTTCACAGCATGGTGGCTGGGAGACTTTGGGCAAAATAGCCTGAAGATGGCTCTCTGGGCTTCATTGTCCCCACTTGTACTTAGTGGGGTTGGGCACCAAGACCTCAAGGGAGGTGTAATAGGCAGACCTTAGTTTCACAACTTGTTGGCTGGGAGACTTGGGACAAATCTAAAGCATGAGGAGGATTTGACTCATTACTGCTGGTTCAGAGATGCAGGTGGCCACGTGCTAGGACAAGAGAAAGGCCACTAGGAACTAAGGGCAGTCCCCAGCTGACAGCCAGCAAGGAAACGGGACCTCAGTACTACAACCCCAAGGAACTGGATGCTGCCAACACCCTGAATGAGCTTGGAAGCAGATTCTTCCCAGAGCCTCCTCATAAGGGTCCAGCCAGCTAAAACATTGATTTTGGCCTTGTCAGAGCCGGAGCAGAGAAACCTGCTAAGCCAACCTGGACTTCTGACTTTCAGAACTGTGATAAATTGTGTTGTTTTGAGCTGCTAAATTTGTGGTAATTTGTTACAGCAGCAGTAGAAGACTAGTGCAGGAGGAGTCTGGTTAAAAAGGAGGCTTGAAGCTTAGTCTGTACAACATTTACGTCAAGTTAGGAGAAAGTCAGTTGCGAGCTTAAGGATGAGGGAAAGTGGATAAAGACCCTCCAGGCCTTGCCACAGCCTTATTCTCCTCTGGGTTCTCTTTTCATACATTTTGGAGTCTCTCTCTCCTTTTTTTTTTTTTAACCAGGGCGTGTGTTGCAAATATCTTCTCCCAATTTTAGGCTTGATTATTTTTTTTCAAAATAGACTATTTTTTAGAACAGTTTTAGGTTTACAGAAAAATTGAGAAGATAGTACAGAGAGTGCGTGCTCAGCTTTTCACTTTGATTATGGTTCCTTTGATAAACACAAGATTTTACTTAAAAATTTTTTTTTTTAAATTCTGGTTAGTATGCATGACATAAAGTTTATCATTTTAACCATTTAAAAGTGTATAATTCATTGGCATTAAATACATTCACACTGTTGTTCAACCATCACCACCACCCATCTTCACGATATAAGAAATTTTTACATATTTAGGTCTATGGGGAAGCCATTCTGGTTTATACCTGATTCAGCCTGAACTTTTTGTGAACTAAAGGAGCCTGACTATGGCCTCTCAAGCATACATTGTAAATCTGCTTTAACCATTAAACTAAAGAATGCATTCAATCATTACCCTACAGTAAAGAATGTGCTCTTTGAAGATCAGAATTAATGCCTCAATTCCCATGGCACCAGAGTCATCATGTTGACCCGCTGAGTGCATGCTAATCTGTAACAAAAATATCTCCTTAAAACCTTGAAAGAAGGTACCTCTGTCATGCTTGATGTATGTTCTTTGTTTTGAAATGGCATATAAACTGTGCTGTAAAGAACACTTCTCTCTGAGAGTTTCTTCCTTGGTGAAGGCTGCACTCCTGGGCTAGTCCTCAGCTTGGCTAGAATAAAACTCTCTTCTATTCTTTACTATAGATTGATTAATGATTATTTGCATCAACATTCAGAACTTTTTCATCTACCTCAACTGAAACTCTGTACTCATTTCATTAAATAAGAACTCCCCATTCTCTTCTCCCCTAGCTACTGGCAACCACCATTCTACTTTCTGTATCTATGAATTTGAATGCTCTAGCTTTATCAAAAAATTGAGGTGAGATTCATGGAACATACAATTAACCACTTTAAAGTGTACAATTCAGTGATATTTAGTGTATTCACAATGTTATGCAGTCACCAGCTCTCTCTAGTTTTAAAACTTTTTCATCACCCCATAAAAACACCCATTATCCATTTAGTAGTCGCTCCCCATTCCTCCTCCCCTCATCCCCTGGCAACCACTAATCTACTTTCTGTCTCTATGAATTTGCCTATTCTGGATATTTCATGTGGTGTAGTCTGCTACAGCTGCTACAATGGAATACCACAGAATGGGTGTTTTAAACAACAGAAATTTATTTGGAGGCTGGAAGTCCAAGATCAAGGTGTTGGCAGGTTTGGTTTCTCCTGGTCCTCTCTCCTTGGCTTGCAGATGGCCACCTTCTAACTGTGTCTTCATGTGGCCTTTTTTCTGTGTGTGAGCATCCCTGGTATCTGTTCCTCTTCGTATAAGGACACCAGTCATATGGCATGAGGACCCGCCTTATGACCTCATTTAACCTAGATTACATCCTTAAAGGCTACTATAGTATGAATATTGGTGTCCCCCCAATTCATATGCTGAAATCTTAACTCACAATATGGTGGAGTTAGAAGATGGGCCTGTGGGAGGTGCTTAGGTCATGAGGGTGGAGCCCCCATGAATGGGATTAATGCTCATATAAAAGAGGTCGCACAGAGCTCTGTAGCCCCTCCTGCCGTTGAAGGACTCAGTAAGAAGGTACTGGCTATGATCTAGGAGGAGAGCTCTCACCAGAACTTGACCATGCTGCTGCCTTGATCTTGGGCTTCCAGACAATTTTGTTTCTAGAAACCTTACTAAACTCTACTACTAATGCTGATGATTTATCTTTAGATTGTTTCAAATCTATGAACTGTGAGAAATAAATTTCTGTTGTTTATAAGCTACCCAGTCTGTGGTATTTTGTTATAACAGCCCGAATGGACTAAGACAAAGGCCATATCTCCAAATACAGTCACATTGGGGGTTAGAGCTTCAACATACGAATTTTAGGGGACACAGTTCAGTCCATAACATCAGATAAAAGGAATCATACAATATGTGGCCTTTTGTGCTTGGCTTCTTTCACTTAGCGTAATATTTTCGAGGTTCATCCAAGCTGTAGTATGTGTCAGTACTTCATTCCTTTTTGATTGTATGGATAGACCACATTGTTTTTCCATTCATCTATTGATGGCCATTTGGGTTGTTTCCACCTTTGGCTATTATGAAAAATGCTGCTTTAAACATTCTTATACAAGTTAATATTTTAATTATCATGAAAATAAAATATCAAGCTTTCCTTTTATGCTTTTTTTTTTGGTCTTATTTTAAGAAATCCTTCTCTACCCTGAGGTCATAACCAATGTTCCTTTATATTCTCTTCCAAAATATTTAGTGTTTGGTTTTTCATATTTGTGGATAATCCATCTGGAAACGAGATTCGAGGCAGGGCTCTAATTGCACTTTTCCCTACATGTATAGCTAGTTATCCCAGCCCTGCTTACTGGATATTTTATCCATTCTCTCTGGTCTGCAATGTAACATCTCTCATGTGTCGTGTCTCTGTATTTGTCTGTATCTGGGCTATCTATTCTGTTCCATTGGTCCCCATCTCTGGGCTAGGATTACATTGACTTAATCACTAAATTAGCTTTATAGTAAGTATTGATATCTGGTTAAGTATGGCAAGTCCCCCCACCTAGTTCTTCTTCAAGAATGTCCTTGCTTTTCTGCTTGTTCATCTAAATTTTGAATTAGTTTTTTAAGTTTGACCAAAACAATCAAACAGACACACCTAATGAGATTTTTATTGGGATTGAATTGACTCATTGGACCAATTTGGAGAAAAATTACAATAGTAATTCTGTCAATCTATTTAGTTGTTCTTTAATGTATTTAAATATAATTTTATGATTTTATCCATAAAGATTTTACATATGTTAAAATTTTCCTATTTACCATTTGTACTGGGTTAAATAGTGACCTACCCCCCCAAATTCATGTCCACTGTGACTCTTAGAATGTGACCTTATTGAAATAGGGTCTTTGCAGATGTAATTAGTTAATATGAGATCATACTGGACTAGGGTGAGCCCTAAATCCAATGACACGGTATGTGAAGGCCATGTGAAGACAGACACAGGGAAGATGGCCATGTGACAATGGAGGCAGGGATTGGGCTGAGGAAGCTACACGCTAAGGAATGCCAAGGATTGCTGAGAATCACCAGAAGCTGGGATAGGCAAGGAAAGAGTCTCTCCTCGAGCCTTCAGAGGGAGCATGGCCCTGCCAACACCTTGATTTCTGACTTCTACCCTCCAGAACTGTAAGACAATAAATTTCTATTGTCTTAAGCCCCCCAGTTTGTGGCAATTACAATATCCCTAGGAAAATAATACACCATTAAAATTTTTTTTGGTCCTATTATAAATGACACCTTTTAGAAAATATATTTTCTCTTTGTTCCTGGTAAATAGAAACACTACTGACTTTTATGTATTGATTTTGTTTCTAGAAACCTTGCTAAACTCTACTGCTAATGCTGACGATTTATCTTTAGATTCTTTGAAACCCATGATGTTTCAAACACATCCTATCATTGGAATGTAATGATAATAGCTGTGGTGGATTTAAAAATATGCCCACAGATTCTTTGCTACTTCTCTTGTCGAGAGGTGGAAACTGATTCCCCTCTCCTGGAATGTGGGCTGGACTTGCTGCTAACAAATAGAATACAGCAGAAGTGACGTGTATCGCTTGTAATACTGAGGTGTAG